CATAATTTGTCAACAGTATTCTTCCAACCCTGATTGGCCCATGTATATATTAGATTTTTAACTAGGAAAGTTTTTCCAATTCCAGGTTCTCCTTGAACTAATAATTTATTAAAATCTTTAAAAAACACCTTATAGAAGTCATTGTATGTTATTTCTGTATCAACTAATTTCGATTCAAAGATATCGTTATCAATAACCTCTGATATTTTAATTGGTATAACAATATCTGTTAAGTTTACTTCCTTTGACGTTTCGTTGAACGGAAGTGGTTTTATTGTTGAAAAATCTTGTTTCCTCTTTGCTCTTGTATCGAAGATAAGCATTTTCCAAACAAAATCGGAATCGCATAGTTTTTTGCCCACGTTCTTAGAGAGAAAGCTATTCATTTTGTTTAAAATGAGAATGATATCTGATAATTTAAATCCGTCTGCTTGGGAAATTACACGGTTAATTGCCTTTTTCTTATCTTCTTCGGCATATTCATGTTTTAGAATATCCGCATTGTCTTTTGTCACAAGACCTTCATTAACCAAATGTTTGCCGAAGTGTTCAAAATTGTAATCATCCTCCAATAGTTTGTGTAATTGCCCTTTATAATAATTGAAGCATAATTTCTCCTTAGAATTCATTACCAGTTTTTATTTAGATTTGAAAAAGCAAATGTTCAAATAATTCATAAAGCAGTACTTAGTAGTCACTATGATCTTTGTACAAAAGGCTAAATATGAAATATTGATAGCCGTAACTCATATTTGCTTAGACAAGTTAGAAGAGGTAAGATAATTGGAATATCGATGACTAACAGGATTAGCTGCAAAAACACTACAATATAATCTAAACTACCGATAGATGTCGCTTTTCTCAATTATAAATTTCGCAATAAAGCAATAAAACAAATGAAAATTTATGAAATTTTTGTATTTATTACGTAATTTAACAAAAGCGTATTTTGTGCAAACATTGAAAGAAGATTACCAGTTTTTAAATTATTCAATAGTTGAGAAATTTGATGTGGCAGATTGTTTTTCTTTACAGAAATATCTTAGGAATTCTCTACGAAATTTTGGTCCGCTAAGACAATAAAGATAAAAGTTAATACCGAAATTTGTATTTGAAATAACTTCAGTATAGATTGCCGCCTTTAATAAATTACTAAGATCCTTTGCTGTTGGATTATGGAAACAGCAATTACTGTAGACGTACAATAGACTGACAGGTAGAGAACTAATTAAAAAGTATGTCGTAATACCCAACAGGAGAATTGTTACCTGAGTACTTTTTGAATTACTTTTATCAGAATTTTGAGATGTTAGAGCCTGTCTCTTCTTCGAAGCGGAGAATAGAGTTTTAGAGATGAGAATATTACATATAAATAGAGAAAATATTGGAATTATACTATAAAGTGTAATGTGAGTTGCAGATTGAATTTTACTAGTAAAATATTCAATTTCTTTACTTTTTAAATTGCAAACAACCAAATCGCTCCATTTATCGAATGGATGTCTATAGATAACAGAATTCGAATAGATAAAAAAGCCGTGTCCATAAAAGATTATAAATACAATCGATATTGTTGAACATATTACTTTTGCTACAAATTTTGTGAAAAAACTCTTTGCTTTCGTTGGAAATATTACAAATATTGTTCTTTCAAAAGTCATTGCAATTAGAATCCATGAACTTAATGAACTTAGAAAAAATTGAACAGGACCTCGGAATATGCAAACGTAATAAAACAGAAATGTTACATTTGATGTTAGAAATGAATCAATGTATCTTGTACTCTGGAATAGGCCTCTCAAAATCAAATTTAAAGTATCAACAACTGCCAAGAATCTTAGATAAATTGAAATTGAAGATGTGCTCATGGAAGGTTTATTGAAGACGATAAATGAGAAAATATTTCCAAACATTCCAAACACAAATATCGTCAAATTTGCTGCAATTCTGAATATTATTACATCCTTTGGACTGTAATGTTCAAAAGCAGGTAAAATTGGAAATGTTGTATTATTCATTGAAAATTGCATTATGGGTAATAATACAAATTAATGGAAATGTTTTTACAAGTATGAAAGTGATTTTAACATTTTCTTTTATATACTTTTCAAAAAAGTAGAAAATGAAAGACAGCTTTAATCAGTATTTATGTAAAATTAATTTCCATGTAAATTCAGGGAAATTACAAACAAATACCAAAACTTTTTCTTTATAATTTTCTACTTGAAAAGACGGTGCCACTCCCACTTTCTTTTTAATATTTATGAAAAAAAGTGCAAGTTGTCCCTCTAATTCAAAAAGATAATAGAAGAATTCTCACTTTAGCCTTATTTGAAATCTGATCCAATAAGTAGAATAAATCTTGTGTCACAGATTTAAAAATTCTTCAATTTTCTTAAATCTCTTTCTAAACTTTTTCAAGTGACAAAAATAGATGAAAACTTTTAAAGTAGAGAGGTTATAATTAAAAAGTGCACTTTTATATTTTATAGAATATGTACTCAATAAACTATATATTACAATTGTTTTTCAATTTCCAAAAAAGATAATAGTCCTATTGAGCAAAATCGAGATATTAAGAATATGGCATTGCCATATAAGAAAATCACCTCTTTCCAATTCTTTTAATCCATGGCTTTAAACATACATTGGGTAATATTGAAATAGGGCTATTTGGAATAGACAAGTTAATAATTATAATAATATCTCTTTTCATTTATTATTCTTGGTCAGGTAATATGGTAATAATTTCGGACGGTTCCATAATTCGATGTAAAACTGATCAATATAGTGCAAATGCTTTCGAAATTGTTGAATTTGTCCTTCGCAGCAAGGAAATGTCTTTCCGTTTTTGTTTGTTTTAACTATTTCAATCTTTAATCAATTGAAAATCTACTGAAAACAGGCCCGAAAGTTGATCAACACTTTTATTAGATGATTAATGATTTCAAGATTAGAATTTTACACAATATATCCTATGACGTCAATAATAATGACATTATAACAATGAAAATTGAGCAGACGACGTTAACTGTACGCCAGCAAAAACGGACCAATCAATCACGTGATCAGTGTGAAATTTTATAACTTGTCCATTCCTTAACATTCAGTTTTTGGATAATTATACGAAATGTCAAACGTTTGGGTGGAATATTTGGAGAAATTGGAAGGATTTTAATGATTTAGTTATCACTTACTGATTACTTCGACCTTGACATTTAATTAACCTACAACTTTAAATGGGCATTCAGAATTTGGCAATCACCGTAATATCTTTTTCAATTTTAATTTCATATTGTGCCACCTAGTGTTTTTCGAATTCAATTTCTTATTGATTGAGCAAATTTTCAGCCTAGGAAGTGTAAAATGGAAAGAATCTTGTTAGCTGATTGGCCAACGATTAATGTAAAACTCGAAAAATACACGATTCATTAATATACATACAATAAAACAGAATTCGAATTGGTATATACACCAGGTGGCGCTTATAAGAAGATTTTATTTTAATATTTAATAACATCACTCCCAATAATATTTAATTGATTGAAAAAAGGCGATAATCTAAAAATTTCAATTTAAAAAGCATTTTGAATAGAAGAGAATACAATTGCTTTTCTTTGTTTATCTTGCAAGTAGTAAATTCTTAGGGAAATTCTAATAGAAAATGATAAAATAGGTTAGGCGCAAAAAATTGGACGCTTTCCCTCAGAATCGTTCCATAAATACTCAATAAAACAAATTAAAAGAAACAGCGTACAAAGATATATTTCAATTGTTTCTTTACTACTATTCAATATGTGTGACGTATTATTCCAGACAGTTCGTTAACTCTTTTCTTGTGTAACAGTTTATAATTGTGAATCGTTAAACATTACAAAACCAATCTATTGAATTCGCCATAGTGTAACATTGCCCTAATATTTGTTATTTGATCCGAAGTGATAAAACTAGGAGTGAGAATCACACAGGGTGGTATTAAAGTAATCGACAAAAAAACTTGGACACTATAAATTCTGATGAGGCCAATATACTTTCAAAATGGTTTTCTTTATTTTGAATTTGATATTTCCAAGATATGAGCCACTTGGACAAGTGGATGTAAGTCTTAAAACAATTCAGTTGAGAGCTATCAAAGAGATAACGAGAATGAGATCTCATATCCAAGGATTTAAAGGAAGAAAAGAGCACTATATCAAAACGAGCACTAATAATCTAGACTCATCTAAATTCTTACAGGCGGACCATATGATTTTCAGACATGGACAAATGACGGCCATAAAGACTTCAGGGTTACCAAAAATATGGGCAAAAGTAAACTAATTTTAAGTTTGAAGAATTACTCCATAAGTATGAGACTTTTGAAAAAGTTAAATTTTCAATGGTCACAGTGTCTGCATTATTTTGCATTTTATGCTCAGATTTGCAAAGAAAAATGATTCAGAGGTGAATATAGATGGAATTATTATTTGAGATCGTTGACCTATTAATTGACAGAAATCCATATTTTTACCTCAATAGATTATCACAACTGCTGCAAGTTTAATTGACGAAAAAGGATGAACAAGTGAAAGAATAAGATAATATTCTGTTGGACAATGTAAAATAAAACTCCATCTCTTTTACAAATTGTTTAATGAGATCCCTCCGATTTTCTTAACAAAAGACGACAAACAAAGAGAAATTTTTTATTGCAATCAATTGCATTACCTAAATGCTGACATCATGGAAAATAAGAAAAAATGTACTACATAGGACTTTACTGTGTAAGGTAAGATATTTAGTTTGTTAAAGACATTGAGTATTAAATGAATTTCAATAATTTTGATATTTCTCTATTGATCTTATCAACATATATATAATTCTTTTTTTTTTATTTAATGAAAAGACATCTTTAATTAATTCTACTCTTGTAGCTATTCTAAAGTCTTTTATGATTTAAATATTAATAAATATCTTATTTTTCATGATCATTGATATTTTTTAATGAATATATTAACTGACAATTATCCAAAATTGCATTAACAACTTTCAAATTGCATGATGGACAATAACATGAAATTTTTCACCCTTTCAATTATTTTAATCACTTTTCTCTTTGAAAATATACAAGGTATTAAAAATGTATTTCTTAATTGTTTACCAGTTTTCATTTAACTTTATTCTTTAATTTAGGGGATGATTGCCCTAATGGTTGGATAAGATATTTAGATAGTTGTATTGGAAAATTTGCAGATAATCTTAATTCAGCTTTACAAATAAATATATTATGTGGTCTTAAAGGAGGAACTCCAATTAAGATTGATTCTCCAAAGAAACTATCATTTGTTCAAATATATCTTCAAAGTGCGACTAAGAATTACTACTTTTTAGGCCTAAGGAGAATAGGAACAACAGGAAACTATTCCAAAGATTTTACATGGCACGATAATACAGGGAACAACAGAAGTCGCCCAGGGCAGAAGTCGCCCAGGACAGAAGTCGCCCAGAAATTGATAGAAGTCGCCCAGAGCTGTGACAGAAGTCGCCCAGAACTGTGATAGAAGTCGCCCAGGACTATGACAGAAGTCGCCTAGAACTGTAGAAGACATAATGTGTTTGTTCTTTGTTTCTATTGATTTCTGACAATTGAAATATATAATAAGTATTAATAAATATAGAATGCATCATTTAATAATAACTAAATAGTGATGAATTAAAATAAAATACTGGCATTCTGTTGAAGGTTTCACATAAATATCATTTATTTGCTTAAACTTGTGCACAAACTTGAGGTTCTATTTGGATCAGTACAGCAGAAAATTCCCACAATCACAATACAAAGTACAGTATTGAGTTTTAAACTAAAAATCTTATGCATTTCATTTAATTTATTAAATTTGTTTCTACATTCAAAGCAGAATTTTGCCATGTTGATAAATTTCTTTCAAATACCTCTTATGTCAAAGATCATGAGAATTAAAAAAAATTGTAAGATATATACATGATTTTAAAGAGACTAATATTTTTATCAAAACAATTGTTACTTTTGAAGGATTACAATGCAGAAAATCACTTAATTCGAATAGCTAACAATTCAATTTTCACAACAAATCAAGTGGTAAAACATTACTCTACAAAAAAAAACTGGTAAAACAATTTCTTTCATTATCACTCAGAGATTACAAATAATAAATACAAACTACTTCATAAATTATTTTCATATATTTTGCATTTTATTAAGCATACTGTAAACTTCTAGTACACTTCTGGGCGACTTCTGTCATAGTCCTGGGTGACTTCTATCACACTTCTGGGCGACTTCTGTCACAGCTCTGGGCGACTTCTATCAATGTCTGGGCGACTTCTGTCCTGGGCGACTTCTGCCCTGGGCGACTTCTGTCGTATTCGATAATACACCATTAAATTTCCGAAATTTTTGAACAACCGGCAAATACAATTGTTAATAATCAAGATTTTGTTATGATACGTTCACTAAATGGAGTTTGGTCAACTGTGAAAGATTTTCATCCCACAGCTAGATATTTGTGTGAAATGAACAAAAGTTGGTAATTTTATAGATTGTAACACTTTATTTAATCTCTCTCTTTCTCTCACTTACTCCGCCATTTTGAAATGAAAAGTTGACCCTACTGGCTGCAGACCTTATTGGTATTTTCTAAACAATTATAGAGATATTAGACAGTATAAAGTCAAGATTATTTCTTTTGATGCTTGTCTTAAAGTATGATTTAATTGTATTGATACCAATCATGAACAGCAATGTAATGTTTGTTTCTCCTTATTCATATAGGCTTGCATTTCTGGAACATATGGTAATTGCTCTAGTGTTTCATGGGATAATTATTTGGCAAGATGTCATTTTCATATAGATAAATTGTATGCCGACAACTTTCCAGAATTAAACTTTAACACACATTTTAGACATTATCAATTTGAATGCGAATCTGATACTTGTGCAATGCAAAATAACATTATTGACCAACTGCCTGATTCCAGCTTTTCAGCTTCAAGCACTGCTAGTTCATCAAAACCTTCTGAAGGCAGATATGGAAATTTTAGACATGACAATCATTTTGGAGCCTTTTCTTTTAAATGAAAGAGTTTTCTTTTGAACGCAGCTGTTTTTATGCAACTTCAAGGGAAAATTGGTTTGGTGTAACATGGCCATTACCAATCCAATTATATGGGCTAAGTTTAGCTCCTAGCCCTGAGATGGCAGGTTATGTAGAATCATTCACATTAGCAGTTGGATATAATTATGACTCATTAGATGATAAATTAAGAGGTAGTGATGGTAATATTATAGTTTTTCAAGCTTCAAATGAACGAGTTACATTTATTCCCATTCAAACCCTATTTGATAAGCCTATAAGGGCTAAATACCTCCGTTTTTATATCCATGGATTTTATTCCAGTCCAGGAGTAGTATTTGAATTTTATGGAATATTAGATGGTAAAAAAAAGAATAAGAAACAATTTATCAATCAATTAACTATGTCTTTAACGTTTTATTGAATTGGAATTATTATATCATATTGTTTCATTTGAAATTCAATTGATAAAGAGACAACAGTATCAAAAGCAAAATTTACAAGTAATCTATTTGGAAGTTTGGGAGCTGGATTAGATTTAGCACCAAATCTCATTAATTTTGAAACAGTATTTGATGATTTTGCAAGTAAATTAGCAGACAATGCTGCTGTATTTGGAACAGTTTGTTCATTGTTTGCTCTTTTCATTCCCTTTGCATTACTAGTAAAAAAGATTAGACAAAAGGGATAGATTACTGTGGACACCATTACCACTATTGGACAATCATAAAGATGATAAATATGAATATGTTATACATGTTTACACTGGAAATAAGAAAGATGGTGGAACAAATTCCAGAGTAAACTTGGCATGCTATGGAACCAAATCCAATAAGAAAATCGAAGTCTTATTTCAGAAAGTGTAGTTTCTTTTGAAGCTGGATCAACTAGATCATTTATAATGACAACTTCTAATAGTATTGGATCAATTATATGTATAAAAATATCTCTTGAGAATATCAACTTAGAATTAAAAGAATATGATCCTTGGTTCTTATCAAGAATAATTATTATTGATAAATCTATAAAAAATTCTTGGTATCATTTTGATTGTGATCAGTGGCTATCTCCTACACATTTAGATTGTCAAATAGAAAGAGTTCTTGTTGCAACTAAACCAGATATGGATGAACAATTTTTAAAGGGAATTAAAACAAAATTGATGGATGATCATTTATGGTTATCTGTTGGGACAAGAAGAACAAAATCAAAATTTACAAGACTACAAAGATTATCAGTTTGCTTTGTTGCTCTATTCTTATCAATGATTGCAAGTTGTATGTTCTATAGAAATTCTAAAGAGACTGATGCTAAACTTGGATTAACATTGGGACCAGTTACATTCACAATGTATGAACTATATGTAGGTTTGGCCAGTAGTATTGTTGTATTCCCTGGTTTGCTTCTGATAACATTGCTGTTCAATTCAAAAAGATGGCGGAAGTACACCATTCCATTGGGATGGATTATAGCATTTCTTGCAGCATTAACAGCAGCATTCTTTACAATTTTATATTCAATCCAATGGGGAAAAGAGAAATCATTAAAATGGTTGATGTCATTTATTTTGTCATTTGTACAGAGTATTATCTTTGTTCAGCCAATCAAAGTAATACTTGTTGCATTTTTAGTAACAATTTTGTTTAAAAAAGACACAAATCTTACTGAATATGAACAAAACATTAAAGATATGAAAAAATTAAAAATGGAAAATTTATCTCACATTCCTTTAGGTAAGTGAATTGATACAAAAACACTTTAAAATAATTTCAAAATATTTTTAACAGAATTGAATATTCATGAGAGATTGAAGAAAGCATTGGATAAGACTCATACTTTAAAAAATGACAAAATTCTGAAAGATAAAATGCATCATATGATAAAGAATATCTTTTTACATGTAGTCTATTTAATATTTGCTCTGTTCATATGCTACAACAATCAAAATCCTATGGCTTATTATCAGAATAAATCAATTTGCAATACAATACCAAACATTAACAAAGTAAATAATTATGAAAAATTTTGGAATTGGATGGTAACCTATGCCATACCAGAAATTTATCCAAAAACTTATTATAACGATAGGAATTTATCAAAGTATGATCTTAAACATACAAGAGAAATGAACCATATGAGATTTTCAGTTGTTAGACTCTTTCAAAGGAGAGTCAAAAGACAAAACTGCCAAATTGCAGCTACAAATTTGAAAAACTATTTTTTAAATCATAGTTGTTTTGGTTATTATTCAATTAATGATGAGCTTAAAATGAATTTTTCAACTTATTGGAATGAGTTTAACTTGAATACAACTCATGATGCTTTCATTTATTCTGAAAAACATAAAGGTTATTCAATTTCATAAGGTCAAGAAGCAAATAATGCAATGGAAATTATACACCATTTGAAAAAATATGGTTGGCTGGATCGACAAACCCGTTTTGTTCAATTAGATTTAACAATTATGAATCAAGAAATTGTTTCACAGGCAACATGGAAATTTGAACTTAAACCAGTTGGTGGTGTGATTGTAACTGTTCGGAGTGATTCACTACAACTTTATAGATATACTGGGTTTGGTGGATTAATTTCTCTTATATTTGAAATTATATCTATATTTGTGTGGCTTATATTAGTTATTTTATGCTTTTATTCTTTTATGAAATATTCAAAACTCCCTGGTATTCTTCTAATAATCTCATTGGTATGTTTTCTTTGTGCTGTTCTACTATATATATGGAGGACAATAATTGGTGTAAAAGTTGTTGAGAATGTTATGAATTCTAGAAATGAATATATAAATTTATCAACACTCTTTAACATTCACAGCTATTTTATGATGTTTGCAGCATTTAGTGGATTTTTTGGCGAACTTCATGTACTGAGTTTACTAAAAATATCAAGAACAATTTCAATTCTTGTAAATACTTTAAAAAAAATCAGGCAAAGATTTAATAGCAATTGGATTTTGCACTTGTATTGTTTTTATTGGCTATGCTTGTTGGGGTTACATTATTTTTGGTAGATATATAAACAATTATAAAAATTTCAAATTTACTTGCTATGCATTAATTGTAACCATTTTTGGACATTTGGATTTTGATATATTATCTGATAATGGAGGATTTATGGGAAAAATTTATATAATTTCATATGCATCAGTAATGACATATTTAGTATTAAATATTTTTATTACAACATTAAATGAATTTTTAAATGCTGTAAAACTTGATCCAACTGTTTTACCAGAAGATCATCAAGTTTTTCAATATATTACAAAAAAATTTAAAGAAATTATTTTCAAAGAATGCTGATGATTTTGATGTTAACAAAATAGAAAATACATGTAGTGTATATAATGAGTGTAAATTTCAAGGTTTATTTTTTTTATAATCTAATTTAAGTATATTATACTACTGAATTATTTTTTTAGAATTATATAATAGAATAACAGCTTTGGAAAAATTGGCTATTTCATGGGATTCTAATGGAGATTTAGAACTATTTGATATAGTATTGACTACTTGCAAATCAAAAGATTATCAAAAGAAAATTAATCATCATAATTCAGAAAATTTATTCAAAATTGATCCATATGTTTGAAAATACAAAAAATACAAATCCAAAAGAATTTAATGTCTAAGAAGATTTGTAAAGATATTTAAGTGTTGTACGTGTTTAATCTACTAATAAATTGCAATGAAGACTAATAGAGTTTTAATTTAAAAATTCACCAAACTCTTATCAGTCAGAATCCAAACTGTTTAGCTTAGAAATGCACATCTTACAATTATGCTAAACATTTATATTTTCATATTCTCTTTCTATTCTATCCTCTCTAATATGTTTAATAAAAGAAAGAGAAAAAAGTCCATAAATACAGAAGTATGAAAAGTATAGTTAGATTGACATTAGACATATTGTGTATCTGTTCTACTATAAGTCAAAACAGATGTGGTAGAAAATGGCCATAAATCTATGATTTTACCCTAACCCTAATCTACCCCTATTTTTGTCTAAGCTTTTTAAATGCCACTAACCCTTAGATGGAACTCCCCTAAGAACATATCAATAGTTATCTTTTTCCTCTTAATCATTTCCCACCTTGAAATCTAGCTTTCAAAAATTTCAGCTATGGCTGTTTTTAATGACAGAAAACATTAGTTAAATGGACATATAATGTCAGAAACAAATCCATGAAGTGTCCTGCAAGAGTTTCCCAAAGAGATAATTGTTTTATCCTTGGCAAAAGGGATCATATTCATGAGAGAAATTATAACCTTGAAATGGAAATAAGAATAAAACACAAATTAAAAGAAAGTGATCAGAATGATAAAATGACATCAGGAAAATTTTTATCTGAAAATGTTCACAGTGAAGTTCCAAAATCAAATTTTGCTATTCCATCTATTGA